GGCTGAGTGTGAATGTACGGTGAAGGTCGAGGAGGATAAGACGGAGAGTGAGGGGAGTGGGCGGGGTGGGCATGCCGGTAAATGGCGAGGACAAGGGTCCTGCTCAGGAGGCCGTCGGCCTGCGGCGTACGGGGAGGAAGCGTAAGCAGCCGGATAGGTACTAGATGATGGGGAATGACGGGCTACCCAGGTAGTTGGCGTTCCAGGCTACCTACCGGGTAAGTTGTCGGAGTCTAGCCCACTTTGTCGGACTTAGATGATTTTATTCCTGAGCCACGTTGTTTAGCTCTTGCTACTCGAGTTGCCTATGACCCTACCATGTAAGCCTGCGATGGGCATTGTTGACTGTGAGGAATGCCTCAAGTATTTCATCCTTGGCACCATTACCGAGACTTTGAGCTTTCCAATTACTCGGTCCCCTGTCCGTTCTTCTTTCATGGACGGTCCCAACCCAGCTCCTTCTGATCCACATGTAGGTGTACCTTTGCCGCGAACCTTGGATGGGGAGGCAGATAGATGTCTTGTGCTTATAACGTAGGATTTGCAAGCAGTCTTGTACTAACGGAATCAGATTGCAGCAGATTTTGAGTGACAAACACGCTATTCACAAGCGGCAGACATTCTGACCACCGTTCCAACGCATCGAAACCCGCCCACCACCACTCGTGACAGAAACACTCCCCAACTACTCCGGCGCCATCCCCGGGAGATAGTCGAGCCCTAAAGCAATTGATTAGCATTTTTGCGCCTTGTATTACTCCATATGCACTTACATCCATCCGTTTCCTCCTTCACAAAATCCTTAACCGTGCACTTGTTCGCCACCGACATCGCCTGCTTCTTGATAGAACCACAACCATCATAAAAACAGTCTTCCGTATCCATTGCACGCTGCAGAGAATCACCTTTCCAGCCGAACATGTAGTCCGCATGGGACCCGAATCCTCTTGTTCCTTCGAAGCTCCAGACGAAGGGGTTGGGGGTGCCGGCGGGCCACATGCTGTTGAACTTGGTTGTGTCCCACACCGTCTCGTACGTCACCTGCGGCATACGCACCGGGTGCGACGCCGGGCAGGGTGGAGCATTAGTAAAGCCGCCGCGGTTCATTGTATTAAACATGTGCGATTGGTGGTCGGGACTGTCTGTGTTCTTACCGTCCCAGCAGCTGGGGGGGGTTAGGGACGCGATGTTGTATGTGTGGGTCTGAAACTCTGAATGGGCTACTCACGCGGGGAAGTGGTGAACGGCAAAGATGCCGGCCGGGCAAGGCTTGTCGGGAAAGTCAACCAGCTCTGGACCTCTGTTCAGAAGGGTCTGTAGGCAGTTGTAGCGGATCCCGACTTGGGACTTGGCTACGTCGGGGTCGGTCGTGGTCGGGCTTCCGACGGTCATACGGAAACCCTAGGGCAAATTAGAATGGGGAAGGGAGGAGGGATGTCAAACTCACTGGCGGAAAGGCTTTGATGGGTTGCTTTTGGGTGTTGTCGTCGAAGAAGTCAAATTGTGTGTAGTAGATGGTCATCCCGCCAGTGGTGCCGGGGGCGAGAGCAGCGTTATTGACGACGGGCACCCGGTGATAAGAGCCATTCGTGGGATGCTTGAAGTATAACACGGCCGTCCAGTAGTTGGAGAAGTCTTCGGACATCTCGCAGGTGGTACAAGTGGCCCTCTCGCCAACATCGCCCTCCATGGTAGCATTGAAAGCATTTCCGCCCACGATATGGTGTACGTGAGAGGAAGGGGTCCTGCCCGGCTCGACGACGGGGTCGAGTCGCTGGATGGTCAACGATGAGCATGCGAAGCGAAGCCCTGCCTGGGCATGGCCGATGAGTGCCAGCGCCGCAACCGAGTAAGACTTCATGTCTTGTGATTTTTGAATGAGTCTGGTCAAGAGGGGTGCATGCAAGCAAGAACAAATGCGGAAAACAAGTAGAGGTCGAAACGTCGCCCGGTGCCGACTTTATGGGTGCTTATAAGTGATCTCCGCTGGCAGCACTGAGGGAGTCATGGTATCAAAGTCCTCTAACTGCCATCTCTATGTGCCGGCATTTTGATAAGATGATCATCGATTCTCTATCGCCTGCATATTAACTTGTTCCGTGTTGGTGGACGACTGAGCCCGATGATTAGTTGGCATTGGCATTACCCGGCGACATCGCAACTTAACCAGGGCAGCCCCATGATTAGGCGCATGTCGACCCCGCCCGAGCGTCGCAGGTATGGCCGTTGATATGGGATGCGCAGAAATCATGAGGTTTATGATGCAATGTCCTCTAAATAGTTTCTCGCTTCTGCGTGGAGAGGGTGACTTGATACCGTCTGGTGCCCTTTGACATCAATCACCCTCTTCGCATCAGACTTCCGATCCTTTGGTACTACGTTGATCCTCTTACTCGTTCGTCCCGGTCAAAGTTGCCAACGAAACACCCTGCTCGGCAACTCGATGACCGACGGAAGGGCTGGAAAGAAAGAAAGGGGACAGTTCCCTTTGTGGATCTGGGGTTCACATTGAAGTTCAATGGTGATCCAGGTTCAATGATTGAACCTGGATCACCACATACTCTAAAACTGTATTGGAAGATATCTGGGAGGTTTGGAATTGGTATCCACGGGACCTGACTTTATCCCTTCACAGGTTGCAAGTTGAGGGCTTGGGCCCATATGTCCCTGTGCCCCCCTTATATGGTCTGCTCATTCTGTCGCCATGCCTGAACAAGGTACCGATTACCTGAACCACTTCCCGAGAATTCTAGGAATCCCTAACCCTCTGTAATTGCTTTGGCTCCTTTATTCTTTTCCCATCCCTGTACATATTTTAGCTCCGGCAGTTGAGTGCCTGTCCGGCCCACTGGCTCTCCCAGGGACGGGATTCGGAAGCCACGGTTCCGCTTCCCGTCAATTTGGCCGCCTACACGGTATTTCCGTCTTCGAAAGCCCTGAAAACATCGAAGCCTGGCGTTAACTATCTAAAACGTATGTACATGACGAGCTGCAGAGTGCCAGGGTCGGCCACGTTATCCCCGAAAAAGCCTTTGACGGTCTATCCTTTTGCCTCTTGCTTATCAATCAGCGAGCTGGCGGAAGCCAAGACCCATCGACCCGCCCGCTACGAGGACTTCCCGAGGTTCGGTTCCACGGCAGTGTTGTATTCGGCGAAGTGGGGAGTCGACTGCCGGGCCGAAGCGGCCATCTTTGGCCGCATTCCAACCATTGCTTGGTCCAATGTCAATTACGCAATACAGGTCTCCCCTGCACCATCGTCGTGCATTTGCGGAGTCCCTTGGCCCAGCGAGTCCAGCCCCAACGTCATCGCTCTCCCACTCCTCATGATTAATTATCAACTCGCGCCACTCCACAAGTTCAAACTCGCCCCGGGAACCGGGCCCGATGTAGGCCAATCGCCGTGATCCGCAGACCTCCACGGAACTGCGCAGAACTGTTTTCAAGCCCAACCCCTTGGCAATGCCTCGGTACCTGGAATAGAGACCCCTGTAAGGACGTCATTCTGCCCAGGAGCTATTAATCTAACCGCCGCCGAGCATCCTTCACCCCTCCTACATTCAGGGCACCTCCTTATCAAGCAAGCACGACGACGAGCAACCGCCAAAATGCAAAACAAAACCCTCATCTTCAAGAACGTCCCCACCCGCCTGCCGGTCCCAGGCCAGGACCTCGTCGTCGAGGATCTCGGCTTCGACCCCTCGGCGGCGCCACCGCCCGGCGGCGTGACCCTCGAGGTGCTGTACGCCTCCTTCGACCCGTACCAGCGTGGGCGCATGCGCCCAGCGCACATCAAGTCGTACAGCCCCGCGTACGAGCTGGGCAAGCCGATCGCGAGCGGCGCGGTCGGGCGCGTGCTCAAGTCGGACGCCGACGCCTACAAGCCCGGCGACCTGGTGGTCGGCCTCCTGCCCACGGGCGAATACGCCACGCTCGCCAAGGACCGCCTCGCCGCCATCCAGGCCAAGGTCCACAACCCGCACGGCCTCAAGGAGCTGGGCCTGTTCCTCGGCCCTCTGGGAATGCCCGGCCTGACGGGGTGGAGCTCGCTGCATGAGATTGGCCAGCCGAAGGAGGGGGAGACCATCTTCATCAGCAGCGCGGCGGGCGCGGTTGGGCAGGTTGTGGGTCAGATCGCGAAGCGGGAAGGGTTGAAAGTTATTGGAAGCGTGGGGAGCGATGATAAGTTGGAGTTTATCATCAAGGAATTGGGGTTTGATGGGGGGTTCAACTACAAGAAGGAGAAGGCCGCGGATGCCTTGAAGAGGTTGGCCCCTGAGGGGCTGGATATCTACTACGAAAACGTCGGCGGAGAGCAATTGGAGGCGGCGTTGGACGCGATGAATGATTTTGGGCGGATCGTCGCATGCGGAATGGTAAGTCGGGCTACTAGCCGAACTTACAATGGGGTACGGGAAGGGCTAACAATGGGTAATAGATTTCGCAATACAACGTCCCCGCGGAGGAACGCTATGGTGTCAAGAACCTCTTCCTGGTTGTCAGCAAGCGCTTGACCATGCGGGGCTTTATCGTCGGCGACAAGGGCTTCGCCGACAAGTACGGCAAGGAACATCAGGAGAAGATGCAGCAGTGGCTGGCCGAAGGGAGCGTCAAGGCAAAGCTGCACGTTGTCGAGGGTATTGACAACGCTGCGGAGGGGCTGGTCAGTATCTTTGAGGGTAAGAACTTTGGCAAGGCGGTACTTAAGATCAAGGACGAGTAAGGGTGTAGTGGGGTTATAATGGATGTTAGTCGAGAAAAGCTATAGCATTGGGCTACCTGCTACTTTTATCCTGTCCGGAGGACAATATTACGGCCTAACTTTTCAAAATTACTAGTTATTTTCTTTTATTAACTGTCCTTTCTTTTGATAAAAACAACCTGATCTTTCTCCCTTCTCCATTATTGTATTACTTTTCTTTTCCTCAGTATTTTTCTTACTTTCTTCTTTCTTTTGAGAGGGGTTACTTACTTCTTGCCTTTTCAACTTGAAGCAGAGCGGCTATTTTTGGGCCGTGGCAAGACGGAGAAGAGTCAAACACAAGCTTGGGTTCCATGATGTTCCCATTTTCATTCCCCCGACCTGCAAGCGGAAGAGAGGATTTGGCTTTGTTGCCAACCCCGGCATGGCGCTTCGCGAAATCCCGCGCACAAAGCAAGTAACATGCATCACATCGTCCAAGTATTGATGTACCCCGCTGGGACTTATAATCCGGGGTAATCTTGGGTCTCCATGGGAAGTCAATAGCGCCGGAGAGAGTGCCATTTCCATCCACGATTCATTCTTTTTGGGCCTCTTGCTGCCGCATATGCGCCCGTACAGGGGGTTGGGCAATTTGTTGGTTTTGTTTCCCCAACTTTTTCATCGAAAACACGACGTCTTGTCCGATGCCAAGGCGGCCCCCCTCACGAACCCCTGCCCGATGGGAACCACAGGCCCAAGAGACCGAGGCCCGCATGCCAATGTCTGACATCTGATCAAGTCCGTCACGAGAGGGTGAAATTTTGAGCGCATAGTGGCGTACATTGAAAAACCATAAACTGGCTTGAATTGATCGGTTTTGTATCTATGTATCGTTTCCTTCCCTGTGTAACACCCGGGATCTCGGATTACCCCTGATGATCGTCCATGCTCCACGATATCTTGTGTCCCATCACACGTGGACTGTAGATCACCCCGGGGATTGGGACACTTGAAGCACAACCAGACCGAGAAAATATTCCATGGGCAGGGTAAGGTTCGAGGATCATGGTTGGTGGTTGCGGGAAGATCCCGGCGGTTTGCGGCCCTGCTGGGCAGTGACAATCGACTGAAGCTCCACGGGGGGTGCTACCCAACCGACCATGGCACATTCCCACCATTCAGCTGTGGTAGCACTTGCCTGTTTGAGGTAACCCATGTCTTGGGCTTCAAGGCAAAACATGGAAGTGTTCCTCCGCTAATCGGTCAAGTTGCTCGCCGCCAGCATGTGGATGTAGCGGTGCCGAAAATTGGCGTAGCGCGGTTGACGGGGAGGGAGGGAGGGTTATTAAAGCCCCATGAGACCCCTCTCGTCTTGTAGGAAGATTCTTTTGTTCCTGCAGTCGGGTCATATCGAGGTCCAGGCAGCCGTTTCACTCGTTATACAATGTTGTCCATGACCAAAGCTGTGGCCGGGTTCGTCCTGGCTACAACAGGAGTGCTCGCCCTCGACGGCGGCGCCGCCATCGTGACACCAGCCCCTTGTGGAGGTGACAACCCCTGCGCTCCCCAGATCTCGGCGGTGCCTGGTTGTGCTACCAGCTGCATCGAGTCGGCCGCCAGCGATCTTGGCTGTGTTGGCGACGATTACAGCTGCCACTGCGCCAAGTACGACGCCATTCAAGGGTCCGCCATCAACTGCGTGATAGGTGCTTGCGGGCTGGGGGGTGCCCTCGGGGTCCCTGGTGCTGTCGACGCCCTCTGCAGTTGCGTGACCGCTCACCCAGCGACTCCTTGTGAGGAGCCTACCTCGTCCGCCGCTTTGGAGACGACAACCTCAACCACCACCATCGATACCAACACCTCGACCCCCACAACCCCAAAGCCAACACCTACTCCCGCCTGCCCCGGCACCGAGTGTTCCTTCCCTAGCGCCGCAGAGCACGAATGCGTCACCAGCTGCATTGACACCGTCCTCCCCGAGTTCGGCTGCAACGGGCTCGAAGATTGGAACTGCTACTGCAACAACTTCCGCAAGATCAGCAACCGCGCCTTCGCGTGTGCCTACGCCTGCGGCGCCGACGTCTACGCAGCCTTCAACAACCCCGCCAGCCAAGGATGCACCTGTCTGCTCAAAGAATGCCCACCACGCTCCTCCTCCTCCCCCACCTCCTCCACCATCGAATCTTCCTCCTCCTCCACCACCATCATCGACCCCGAACCCACCCCCACCACAACAACAACCACCCCCCCACCCCCCACCTCAACCTGCACCCCATCCGATCCCTCCCCCTGCGCCCCCCTCATAACCGCTATCCCCGCCTGCGCCACCTCGTGCATCGTGTCCGCCGCCTCCGCCGTCGGCTGCGGCGATGACAACTTCGCCTGCCGCTGCTCCTCGTCCGACGCCATCCAGCAGACGGCCATCGGGTGCGTGCTGGGCGCGTGCGCGCTCGACGAGGCGCTGCGCGTGGTCGATGCCGTGGGGGAGTTGTGCGCTTGCGTGACGGGGGAAGCAGGTCAGGGCCCGACGGGGTGTGGCGGTGGGGGGGAGGTGACGGTTACGGCGTCGGCGACGGGGGGTGAAGAGACTGGAACTTCGGCTGCCGTGACTAGTACTGGGGGTGGTGGGGCGTCGGGGAGCTTTGTTACTGAGACGAGGACGGTGGCGGTCACGACGTCGGTTTGTGATGATGATGATGGGACAGCGACTACGACGACGTCGAGGCCCACTTGTAGCTTGGGGTGTGGTGGTGATGACGGTGGTGATGACGGCGGTGACGGCGACGGAGATGGTAGTGATGAAGAGGGGGACGATGGTGGTGATGAAGATGGTGATTTTGGACCCGGACCGAGCCCGTCGCACTTCCCAAGTGGGATTCCTGGCGGAGAGAACGAGGGTAACGACGGCGGCGATGGTAGCGGCGCTGGTGGTGGATCAACCACCTCACCGAAGCCTCCCATCGAGACCGCCGGTGCATCCCACGTTACGCTAGCTTGGATTGGGTCCCTGATAGCCATGATTGTTACGGCCGTTGCTCTTCTCTAAGAGATCACAGTGGCCGTTTACTTTGTATGTTTGGACAAGTAATCTAGGTAGGTAGCTTTTGGAAGGGTAGCTCTAATCTTGAGTTATACCTTTGTCGTTATACCCAGTGACATCCATGTTGACACAGGGCTGGGTGTTTCCACATTTCCGAGCCCTGGTCACCAGGCCGAATGTGCACCAACTGACATGGCGGCGGCAGGGGAGGCTTTCTCGGCTGTAATAGTTGCGGTGTTCCTCGCTTCAAGCATGGGCGGCGAACGTGCGTCAAGCGGGGCTGGAATACACGCCGGAAGCAAGTACTTTCTGTTCGGACTTTCATCCTGGTTAACTAACATGGATAGGTAAGTACCCTGCCATTTTGTAATAGATGATCCTCGAACGTACAGGTACCTCGTGAGGGTGACGCTGACGCCGGGGGTGTATTGCGTGATCAACAATTGCCGGTCAGTTCAGCCAATGTAACTTGGGGACACAGCCTAGTTGGGCAACCCCACCCGAGCAATGGTGTTTAAGACGAAGCAGATCTATACAGAACATCGATGGTCAGGGAGTACCATTTCCGTTGCGTCGTGTGTTGCCAGGATGTGGTTTCCGATCACAAACCTCCAGCCCCTCTTTCTCGCAAAGTCGACGATTTTATCTGGCCAGAATTTCTAACACCGCCACCACCTCCCCCACACCCAATTCCTATTCTTAGAACAGGTGATCCGAAGGCCCTCGAAGGTGAACTCCATTTTATCGTCCCCTAATAGCTAGCTTTCTTCTTTAATCTATCAACCTCTGAAGTTCACTTTACTTTGTATTTATCACATTTACCGTTAGTTACATATGTTTATAGCTTCGAAAGCTGATGTATGTGTTGGATTCGCCATATGGAACCTTCTTGCGGATACCAGTGTTGGAAGTTGTGGCACTTGAAACACGGAAGCCTGGTTGCTGATGCGCTTATGTTAGAGGGGTTCTAGCGGTTGAACAAGAGGCTATGAAAAGGAGGTCAGGGCAATGCCCGCCACTGAGGATGAAGACAGAACAATCAATCAATTCTTTCTCCCCGATCTTTCCGTCTGAGTGTCGCTTCCAACAGTATGTAACTGGGATATAGTAGATGATGATGGGAATGACTGGGCTAAAGAAAGAGTCCAACGTACTGCTCGACCTGCCTCCTTCCGTGAATCCCAAGCCCTCAAATACCATGCTAGAATCCCAAACGAGCATCCTGCCGGGGAGGCCTTTGCCGCACCCTTCGCTTGCCGTGTCCATGGCTGTAAAGGCTATGGTCACTACCACGCATACCTAAGGTACTAGATTTCTCGAGGCCCGGGTAGTCCGCGCCAACACCAACATTTCAGCAACATTTCTGCGTTTCTGCCGTCGTTGTCACCGTCACCGCCGCCATCGCCACCCCCTGGCGCTCGCGACGACAGCGGCTCGCGCACCACGGCACTGGCCTATAATTGGCTTGCCACCGATGTGAATACCCCCGTGGAGAAGGAAAGGGCGCCAGTCGGCGGGCGGCATTGCCGCGGGTACGCTCGAGGGGCGTGGAGGTTGGGGTCGGGGGAGATGGCGGGGTAGGCTTGGAAGGGGAATGGTTTGGGGATGTTGTGCAGTTTGGTGGCAAGACGAACGGGGGCCGAACCGGGTAGCGGATTCTAGGAGTTGTATCCGGTTGAATGTTGCCGGATGTTGGAAGGTGGCAAGTGAGACTGTCTAGTCGCGAAGATGTTTTCATACAAGTACTAAGCGTGGCGTTATGGGATGGAAGGTTAAGAAACCTGAGGGTGATGGTTTGCGGTCGTTGCATAATTTCGTCTTGAAACCGAGGTTGATGTGGTAGGTAAATGTTTCGTATTCACCCCAAGGATGCTGGCCTTATAGTTAAATATAGATGACTACTCGGATGAATTGACACGAACCTTGCTAATAATTAAATTTAATTTTCCGTTCACATTCACTCGAGACCCGATGGGTCTCGGAGCATCCAGGACGGTGACTTATAGTAATAAGGTGAAGTTCTAATAACTACAATGTTTCACACCACTCTGATCGTTACAAGCGGTATGTATGTTGACGGAAAAAATATTAAAACTTGTCTCTTTTCGTCTAACTAACACTAAAATAAAATCTTCGCTTCCTTTCTCCTGGGATATATCCGCGCCCTCGTATCTATCTACTTGAAATCACCCCACAATATTCTGTCTCTTTCGTGTAACTACGTAACTTCAAACCCACGCACCCTTCCCAATCACCTCCCACCTACGATTATTCCACTGTACGTTCAAGTCTCCCATTTCCTTTCCTTGACCATGACAAATTTCCGTCTACTTCCAATACACGTCCATCCAGAACCAATTCCCCGGGTTCGCCGCCGCCACCGCTGTCCGTCCACCGCCCTTCCGAATAGGCTTGGGCCCGTTCACATGCTGATACATCCTATCGCTCGGCAGGTTCGGCGCATACCGCATCTTCATCGGCCCTTGCCTCGCCTTGCGTGCCTCCTTCACCACCCGGCCCTGCTCATCATACACGGCACTCCGCCGCACTTCCTTGCCCTTGCCCTTGTTCTTCTTGTCCGCCTTAGCGGCCTTGGCAGCCTTCTTGTCCTTCTTATCTTTCTTCTTTTTCTTTTTCTTGTCCGGAACGTCCTCAAAGTTGCCGTCGTCCATGACGTCGGCCATGGCGGACTGCCGCGCGCCTGACTCGCCCTGGTGGAGCTGTGGGCTGCCGGTCCTGACGCGGCCGACGCGGGCCTCCTCGGGCTGGTTGTTGAGGTTGCCCATCTCGATGTCCTCGTTCTTCTTGGGCTTGGCACCGAAAACGGTGGCAAAAAAGCCGCGCTTTTTGGGCTTTTGGTCGACAGTGTCTGGGTTGGCGGTGGTTTGCTGGGTGGACTTGGACTTCTTGTTGGAGCCGAAGAAGGAGGCGAAGAAGCCCTTCTTCTTGGGTTTCTGGCTCGAATCATTGGGGTTGGTGTTGTCATAGCCGTCTTGGCGTACGGTGTTGTCATAGTTGGCGGGTTCTTGGCCGGAGAAGGTCTCCATCGGGTATTCCTGGCCGTTCCCATTTGCGTTCTGCTTGTTCTTCTTGTTCTTCTTGCTGGAGCTGAAGAAACCCCCAAACCAACCCTGTTTCTTTGCTGGCTCGTTGTATCCATCATCGTAAGACGTGCCGGTGTTCTGGACCTCGGTGTTGCGTTGTTTGGATTTGTCCGGCCCAAAGAGTCCCGCAAAGAAGCCTTTTTTCTTGCCGGGCCGTTGAGTATCGGCGTTTAAGTTGTCCCCGTACTGCTGAGAACCGCCGTTGTAGTCATCGACATACTGCTGGGAGCCGTTATTGTAGTCGCCGTTGTGCGGCTGGGAACCACCGTTGTAGTTGTCCCCGTACTGTTGCGAACCACCGTTGTAGTTGTCACCGTACTGCTGAGAGCCACCGTTAAAGTCATTGCCATGCTGGTGCTGGGATTTGGACTTCGAACCAAACAATCCTCCAAAGAAACCTTGCTTCTTGGCAGGTTGCTGCTGACCTTCGTTGTAGCCATCGTTGAAGCCACCGCCATCCCGATTCCGGGAGTTGGACTTCGACCCAAACAGCCCGGCAAAGAATCCCTGTTTCTTCGGTGGCGGCTGCTGGGAATCATAACCATCGTTGAAGCCGCCACTTTGCTGATTTTGAGATTTGGACTTCGATCCAAACAGCCCAGCAAAAAACCCTTGCTTCTTTGCCGGTTGATTGACGCCGTTCTGTTGGTCCATTTGGCCGTTCATATTTTGGTCCGTGTATTGGTCGTTGTACCCTTCGCCGTTCCTATCCTGGTCCACGTTGTCCGCAGTTATGTATACCGGCTCTTCCGGTGCTGGCTTCTTACTGAAAAGCCCGCCAAAGAATCCTTTCTTTTTGGGCTGCTCGCCGGTCGGATCGGCATTGGGGTCTGCTGGATACTGTCCGTCTGGCTGCTGGCCTTCGGTGTACCCATTCTCGCCCATTGGGGCGTCAGGGTTGAGTTCGTCGTTCTGCATACTTGGGTCTTGGCCGTCCTGGAGCTGTTGGTTTTGGGCCTCGAGATCCCCTTCCTTCTTCTTGCCACGGAACAGCCCGAAAAAGCCCCGCTTCCCTTTGTCGTCTTTCTTATCCACCTCCTCATTCTCGTTCACATCTTCCCACTCTCCATTTGGATCATCCATCGCGGGATTCTGCAGTGCATCCTCGGGGTTCATCTCGGCGTTATTCACCTCGCCATCGGGGGCGGGTGATCGTATCTCGCCGCCCACCACCCCATCAGCGGCGGTGTTGTCTTGGTCCTTGTCGGTGTTGGCATCGTCCTTTGGTTTCTTCACACAGAAGAGTTTGGCTGCAAGTGCGGCAAAGCTGAATCCCGACGCCTTCAAGTTCGCCGCATGATACTGTTCCTCGAGCTCTTCTAGGCCCCAGCCCAAGGTCGCGGTTGCCATGAGCGGAAGCAGCCATTGGTATTTCTCTTTCTTATGCACCCTGCCCCTCCCATGTCCGGCTGCCACGGGCACCTGTTCTTGGTGTTCGTCGTCGTGAGTGCATACCAATTCCATGGGGTCGTTTGATTGGTAGGGTACCATGCCCTCTGGGTGTTCTTCCACGGGTTCATCGGCATCATAGTACACATCTTGTGCCTGTTCAACACCAGGTGAGTACTCCTCATACTCCTGCTCAGGTTGCTGTACCTCTTGTAAAGACGGAGAACGGACTGGGGCATAATCTTCGTGCTCTTGCGGGGATACAAACGCCGGGAGTATGTCGGGCTCTGGAGAACGCATCTGTTGTGCATTGTCAAAGGCCTCCTCATACGGCTGTTCCTGGTATTGGTCATCAACCAGATCGTTATCCCGGGGTTGCTCATCGTAGGCATCCTCGAACGTCTCTTCTGGGTACTGGTCGTCAGCCGGGTGATTGTCCTGCGGCTGTTCGTAATAAGCTTCCTGAAAAGGTTCCTCGTCGTAGTGGCCGTCGGCCGAGAAGTCATCCTGAGTTTGAGCATTGTAATCGTCTTGGAGAGGCGGTTCTTGGTATTGGTCATCGTAGTTGTCTTGGAGGGGCGGCTCTTGGTATTGGTCATCGTAGTTGTCTTGGAGGGGCGGCTCTTGGTATTGGTCATCGTAGTTGTCTTGGAGGGGCGGCTCTTGGTATTGGCCATCGTAGTTGTCTTGGAGGGGCGGCTCTTGGTATTGGTCATCGGTTGGATAATTATCATGGGGTTGCTCTTTGTAGTCCTCTTGGAAAGGCTGCTCGTGATATTGGTCGTCGCCCCGGAATTCATCTTGGGGTTGCTCGTTGTAGTCGTCTTGGAAAGGTTGTTCGTGGTACTGTTCGTCTACTGAGATATCATCCTGAGGTTGCTCA